ACGTCGCGCGAACCTTCCTCATGTCAATAGTCGGAAATGAACCAGGGACAAACGTGGGACTAATCAATCTCACGACTCAGCGGGACAGGGGTATTCTATACCGGTGTACAATGTAACGTAACACCGTCCGAACCTTTGCCGTCTTCTCGCGTTGCTCTCAGCCAGACAACGGAATGGACGGGAAAGTCCGAGATGTGGCCTGAAAGGAAATGTGAGCACCCGTCTGTTCCACCCGACATGTAGCGTCTCTCGGAGCGCTTTAGAAAAGTATTAAAAGGACAGGAGAGTATACCTTATTATGCTTTTACTAAGACATGGTACAGTGACATTCAGAGTGAAATCATTTAATTTGGATTTTTCTATTTTGTAATTCTTTGTGCAGTAAACACTTTTTTTCAGCAAACCGCAAAAAATGTTTGGATCAATTAATAATGATGCGCTCGGGGAAATCGAATATTGCTTTATTTTTATTTTTCTGTCTTTTGTATTAAAGTGTGTCCAAATTCGAAGCTAATGCAGTATACAGTGGCACGTAATTAATACCAGACATGGTTACCTCGTAAATAAGCTTTGATAATCTGTATTTAACGTTTTGATATGACTTCATGTTCATGAAAAGATAAATAGACATAGGAAATAAGATTTACATGTTATTCCGGAAGTAAGACAAGTAAAAATACAAAATACTCCACCTCTCCTCTTCCTATTGATTTCTCACTGTGTTATCCTCCCGTCTACCCCCACCCACTCCTGTTTTCCTTCTCTTATCTCTGGTCCGTTATAATCGTTTATATAATCTTTGTCCTAGTCACAGGCAGGGTTCTTTTCACACATTTCCAATGAAATGTTTAGGTCAGCATATCTCATTCCTTCATTCACCTCCTCCTTCACCTCTACCCACTCTTCAACCAACCCCCACTTTCCACATTCATCCCCCTATTCCTCAGAGGTTCACAGAAGACATGCTCTCGTCACGATCCTCATTTTTAGCGATGTGGAAAGAAATCAGCGAACTATTCTTGAATAACATTAACTATAAGTGTTTTGTTTCATACGCCGCTACCTGTCTATTGAAAGCGAGACACACCGTATACACAAAAGTGATCGGTTCAAAAACAAAAACAAAAAAAAACTAGTCAAGATGAAAAGCAAATAAATCTTTATTCCTCATATGCACATGTACAGAACTTGTATCACTGTAGCTATGATGAAGTAGTGTGCGATATATACAAGAGTTACATAAGAAAACATTAAATTATCAAGTCTTCGAAAAGAAGGGCATGGCCTGAGAATATAAAATAATTGTCTACACATAATACTATATAATAAATTAGACAACAGGAGGATAAGTGAGGTCAATTATGAGTCAATAGGCAGTACAAAACATAATATGCAAAAAGCTAACATAAATCAAACTTTTTTTCCAGTCATCAAAGCATTCAACAATGTTTTACGAACTGACTTCTCGGATGTCCCGTTTCCTTTTCCGTGCGGCAAGATCTGTTTCAAAGACCTTTCTCTTCTTTCTTTTCAAAAGCTGATAAGCAGCATTTATTCAAAATGACAATAGCATTCAATATTTCAATAAATTATGTACTTTGTGATTCAAGTATCATAATTCTGTGTTTTGACCTAACTAAATAAGAAAAAATAATATTTGGTAATTTCAATCTATACCACAGAAAATGACTACCTGAAGAGAACGTACAAGAATCGCCGTGATTGTAACTTACAAGTACAAACAAATTACGTTGTTTTTTTTTGTATTTGTTAGTTGTTACTTTTTTATTGCATTAGTGGGCGTTTTATATTGTTCAAAGAGCTTCCAAAGTACACCTACAAAGTATTCAATAGCCCACATCTTTCATAAAACTGAGAGTTCAAGGTTAAACAAAATGGACGATAGTGGTCCATAACCAAATGACTACAGGGTACTATAGAGGGAGCCTCGATCCACGTAAACTGGAGAAATTAATGTTCAAAGACAAATTCGGGAAGAGAGTTCACGCCAGTCATCCCTCACTATAGACATAATTTTACAGGGGAAGCAGGTGGGGTAAGGTTCTGGTCCGAGCTCTACGCATCCTGAACACCAGCTTGCCAATATTTATAATACAACAATGCCAGGAACTTCTTGAGGTGGAATCTTCAACGGAAGGGGCTGTGGGGGGGGGGGGGGGGGATGCATTTATGGACCTGTGAGATTCCCTGTTCGTCAGCTAAAAATTTTTTAAAAAGACAGAACCCGTGAGTTCTCAGTCTGTCAAATATTTGTGTGAACTTTTTCAGTTGTAAAAGTAATTTGGCGCGGTTTTTCAGATTTCATACAATGTTCATAGAAATCTTTATTTGGCATTGATCTGTACTAGACTAATTTTAAAAAAAGGCATTTTAATGCATCTAAACTTTTAAGACAGTTTCTCTCTCACTCTCTCTCTCTCTCTCTCTCTCTCTCTCTCTCTCTCTCTCTCTCTCTCTCCCTCTCTCTCTCTCTCTCTCTCTCTCCCTCTCTCCCCGTCTTTCTCTCCCTTTCTCTCTCTCTCTCTCTCTCTCTCTCTCTCTCTCTCTTTCTGTCTCTCTCTCCCTAACTCTCTCTTTCTCTCTCTCTCTTCCTCCTTGTCTCTGTCAGCTGTCATAAATTATAGCTTTCTTCAATGGCAGCAGTTTTCTCTTTCATTCACAGCAACGAAGAGGGTGATCTAACAGAAAAGTTTTGTGAATCACAAAAGGGAAGTGTTTTGAAAATGTAAAAAGTCAGCCAACTTTAGCTTGAGGACACATGATGTAATATATAAACACATAAATAAAAATCGTAACGAGAATATTATTTAAAAGGACTGAAATAATTATGACAAATAATGGGAAAGTAAACCAAGAGCGACAAAAACAATTGAACATGGTTAAGAGCTAAAATATTATTACCCTCTCTCACATTGTTAAACGTGTTCACTCTAAGTAAGAAAAAGAGACAGAGAGAATGAGACAGAGAGAGTGACAGACAGACAGACAGACAGACAGACAGACAGACAGACAGACAGACAGACAGACAGACAGACAGACAGACAGACAGACAGACAGAGAGGTACAGAGAGATTGAGAGAGAGAGAGATAGAACGAAACGAGAGAGAGAGAGAGAGAGAGAGAGAGAGAGAGAGAGAGAGAGAGAGAGACAGAGAGAGACAGAGTTGGAGAGAGAAAGAGAGAGAGAGACACAGGAAGAAAGGAAGACAGAGAGACAAAGAGACAGGGAGACAGAGAGACAGAGAGACAGAGAGAGAAGGGAAGTCCAGAAATACATTTATTATTTGTTCTATCGTATTGTATAAGGTCTTGGAACATTGTTATATTACATAATCCCACATCAGCTTGTTAAGTAAAATGTTATTATTTTCTACAAATGATACGGTGATGTGCATTCTGCAATAGAATGAAACTGAGAATAAATCGATTAAATTTTCAAATCCATAAGCCAATACATTCTTTCATACATGTATTAACTGCTTTCGACATACAATCAAACCCATCAAGCTAATCTTTACCCTAATATAAATATAACAGACATAAAGCAGACGCACTAGCTTCAGAAAATTCTGAGCGTAAGGCGTATGACGGGAAATCTAGGATAATTGTATTTTTCTACTCAATCGGTGCACGATAGAGATCAATAATATAGAACATGTATTACTATTGGGAGAACGACCTCTACGTTCTGCAAACTTCATTCAATGCATTAAGTTGCAAATACAAATATAATACTCCCGCTTTCTTTCTCGAAACCAACAACCTTGACAACACCACCAATAAAATGTTTTGGGAAATGAAATGAGACAACAATTAGGTACAGAACTGTGACAAGGAATGGCAACAATAGATCTGATGAGATGTTTGTCGCGGTGAAAATTGAGCATGTTTGCCAAGATGAAATAATGGAATTATACAATAAAATTTCAGCTTGTTGAGTAAAAATGATAACTAGGCTCATACTCTCATTTCGACTGCCTTTCTAGAGGAAGCACCAATGCTAACACGCAGAAAGTCATTTTTATAGCGACAGTTCAGCTATTTTGCGTCATTCGAAAAGCTGCATTGCCAGTATAACTGCCGATAGCATCACTGTTCTCAATGACGTATAGTTGTGTTAACATTATGTCAATAGAAGAAACCTTACCACGAAAAGGCGGCAAGAAGGCCAGTCATAACAATACATGTAATTATTACCTTTGTCTTGTACTTCCATCTGCCAGCCATGCTCCGTTTCTAATTGTCTTATTTATTTAATTAAGCTGCCAAAACAGGCACTTTGCTCTTACTTAGCTTTGCTTTATTCGACCATTTTTGTTCCAACTGACAGTCTTTGGATTTGCAATGTTTCTTATCTGTTAATTTATTTCAAATCTATTCGTCCAAAGCATCTGCTCACTTTACCTATCAAGAAGTACCACTTAATTCAAATAAAAACGCAGAAGTATCAACAGCATGTCCGGAAAAAATATTTTCCTTCTAGTGGGAGCAAATAAATAAAATTATCTTATCATTCTTGGCATGTTTGGTTTATTCAATTATCTCTTGTAATCATAATTCTCTCTCTCTCTCTAATGTATATATATATATATATATATATATATATATATATATATATATATATATATATATATATAAAAATTCAAAACATAGTTTATAGACATTCATATAATCATGGAAATACAACGTATGATCTTGAATTTTATCGGATGCACGTAAATAAATCACAATATAGAAAATACTGAAACGTACTGGCGGGCGTCCAATTATGAAAAAAGAAAATTTAAGTGCAAATCTATTATACTCAATGGTAATAATATGACATTTTCAAAGGGTTTTGTGGAAGATTCATTATGACCAGTGAACACGTATAACCTTGCCTTACCTGCGATTATGCTGCAGATGGGACAATTCATAAACACAACTTTCTTGCTAGCTTTTCTCCCTACGACTTACCTTTAATCCCTGCTTTTATTCTACCTGTCAGCCAAGCTTTTAGCCAGACGAGTCTTCAGACTGGCCTATTGATTGTGAATCTCACCAGAACGTGGCGTCCAGTGCTTCGGTGTACCTGGCTATTCGTTCGCATATTATAGCTAGTACTCAAGAGGCGACGAGATTATGGTTGATAGGCGAAAAAAAGAAACCCACTGAAAATTACTTGTATTGGATTCTAAACCTGGACCTGGAAATACATCGAGAAAGATTGCATTACAAAACACAGAACCATCTCTACTTTCAGTTCGATGAGTGCTCTGTATGTCTGTACCATTATGTGCTATTCCAGCACTGAGAAAAGGTTGCCATGATTATCAGTCTGACGAAGTGATAGAATAGAGAGATGTTTCAACAGCTCATATCTGCATATCCATGCTCGATGTTCAGTTTTTCTTGTCATGTAACCCCCCCAAAATAAAAGAAAATTGTGTAACGTTACCCAGGATTTATTTCAACTGTTATTGGCTTTTGTTTTACTCCCAAACTTGCACTTACCACAACTTTCCAGGATTTAAACAAAAATTGAATATGTCAAGTACGTTTCGATAAACTATATTGAGTGAGCCCTATCAATGTCATTTTCTATTTCTCTTTGTGACTACATAATATCATGCTGCAATTTTCTGGAAAATCAAGAAAATATTGTCCCGGTTCATCACAATCACAATAAGCCGTTGACCCGATGAGGACGAGGAATTGAAAAAAAACACGATTTTATAACAAGTAAATGTATGAAGCAAATTCAGCTACACGTGATTTGATGCTGGCAGTGATCAGGACAATGTTCGTGATGTTCATTCAGGCAAAGAGGGGAAAAAATGAACTAGTAAACATTTTAGGAGCTATTTTGTTAGTTTAAAAGATAGAAAGTTTCTGTCTAAAACTGAATCCCAGGCTGAATTACAGCGCATGATTTTTTCTTGGAAGATCTGATCCGTTCCTGTTAGCGCCTCTCTCAGCGGTACACTCTGTTGACCACAGTCTTAGCACATTTTGAAGAGGGAAGCTGAACAAGGGGGTTCGGGGGATTTTTAAGCCTTTTCTATCATTTTTTAAAGCTCCAGGGAAGCACATTCATGTATGTACTATAGCGCTATTGTACATTCAAACTTTTCAAACGTTTTCTATTGATCATCAATCCAGGCATTCATACAAAATTACCCTCTTCGGAAGGCGGCGCAAAGTGACTTTTGCTTTATTATCAGAATAATAGCCAGCCGCTACTGCTTTTAGGATCATCCCTCAGTATAAAACAGGTTTTGTACTATGCCCTTGAAAACCATGTGTAAACCTCAAACCTTGAATGTATCAGCTTGAGCGTTAAATTTGTTCAGCACATTCTAAAAGCTTATGGGTCCAAAGGGGGGAAATAGCGATCATTTTTTTGTTTGTTTTGTTTTGTTTAGTAGACCACTATGTGTACAAGGAAAGGTATACACTGTAGTTGAGAATCTACAAACATTCAAAAATTGAAATTTCTCAAAAGCTTCAAGCATCATAAATCGTTGCAATGTAGGATATGGCAGTAGCCTGGAATGAAGACGTTTCTCGACAACACCACAGGTACCGTGGCAAGGAGCAGAACACGAAGCCACTGGGCAGGGTCAAGAGCGCTAGCACCAGATTCCGTGTTGGAAGAAACACCTGGAAAAAACAGTAGTTAATTATCAATAAAGTGCATTACACGTATTCTGATTTCCCAAAACTTAATAGAGAGCTCTACATGGCCCAACTTCTTTTCGTAGAGCTCAGGAAAAGGAAAAATGTACGAGGGGGATTTTACCACAGAAGGTCACTTCACATTGAAAGAAGGTGCAACGCCTAGAATTGCCATCAATCTGTGGCCAATGTCCCTGTGTTTTACCGGTTTTGCTTTTTATTCCCTGACTTCTACCTCTCCCTTTTTCTTCTCTATACTAAGAATTTAGCAAACGCTTAAATCGACCTATTTGGTGTTGTCCTTTTTTTATTTGAAGAAAACAAAATGGACTGCTTCCAGCAAATTTGTTATCATATGTTATGCCATTATAAGTAGGCCTACAGCTCTAAGGTCTGATAGACTGCGAATGAGGACAGACTGCAATGACTGACTGAATGCTCACGCCCGTGCTGCTCAGTTGTTATGTAATAAAACGTCCGACGATCCCTCTGTTTTTTTCGTATGTCTGTCTTTGATAAGACTGACCGTGTTCTTGTTCCTGCCGTAAATTCTAACAGCTCAGATAATGATAAGTTAACTAATGGCATTCACTATTGATTTTAATGTCACTATTTATCTGGTAAAAATGTGTGTCTTCACTTTCAGAGAGAATAACTCCAAAATGATTCAGGACTTGAGACTCGGGTAAAATGAGTGTACACTCACCCTTGAAAAGTTGTCTCCTTTATTACAGTACACACTAGACTTTCCAGTTGTCATCTTCTTTTCACCCTCACCCCCCCCCCTCTTTCCCCTCCGCTCCCTTTCCAGCTCGCCGTCTCTCTCTCTCGTTCCCCCATCCCCCATTTCAGTCTTCTATCTATCTATCTATCTATCTATCTATCAATCTATCTATCTATCTATCTATCTATCTATCTATCTATCTATCTATCTATCTATCTTTGTGTGAATGTTTGAGGACGCTACTTGTAAGTCCTACTTCTTTTCTGTTATTTCGGTCTGTCTATGTTGCTTTTCCCTTGCGCTAAACGGGAGCTATCGTTTCGATGTGTTCCTTGCTGATTATTTTTTTTTAAATAGTAGAGTGTTTTACAGCGCTCGCAACTGCATAAGATAATCCCTTGCTGATTACATCAAAGCTAGCAAGCTCAGAGCCACGCCCCCCTTTTCCCTCCCCCTTCCTTCCCCTCATTGGTGCTCCTCTACTGCTGGACATTCCACGTTTCACACCGCTACATCAACACGTTCGTGTGACTACAGCCTGTGTACAATTCCCCCACTATCTGACCTGTCCAAATACCGTGTTCTTGACATCGATTATCATTACAGGGGTGAAGGAGTGTTAAGATAAAAGAGAAAAGGATGAACCTCTCCCTGAACTAAAAACAACAGGTAGCTCTGATTATCACAGACATGTTTTTACAAAGGACGATAGCTATATAATTTTTTTCTTGCAAGTCTTGCAAACGTACTAATCTCGTGGTGGTGTGCCATTGAAAAATATTATGCTACATTATATTATTTTCAAAACTTTTGGCAAATATTGGGATATACGGTGTTCTTTTATTTTGTTTTTTTGTTTTTGTTCTCAAGGAACTATCGGCTAAGTAACCATTCGAAAAAAATATTATTATAAACAGAACTCCGGCACTCTCTACTTTCTTGTTTCTTCCAAGCTACCTCTGTTATCTTTATCTAACGTCACATTTCCCCTCCCAATCTTTTTTCCATTTTTGCCCCCCCCCCCCCCACACACACACACATACTCACAAATATTTCTTATTATGTATATATGAAGAATCTGTCATCTCTCTTTATTGAGTCGGAAGAATTGTGAAATACTTGAATTTACGGTACTTCTGTGGCCGCACTTCTAGAACGTTTGTTTCAATCGGTGTACTTATGCAGTCTTCTCACGAAAGCAAAACATTCTTTTGGAGTGCTTTAAATCTGCGGAACAGACATAATTTCCTGCTTTCTAAATCCCATTCCTTATCAAACAATGGTGTCGTTCTGCCCCATGTGACCACAATGGCAGCTCTTCCTGTTCTCGTGAGCTTCTATAATTGGCTGTGTCAAAACCGCTGGGTCTCACTGTCCAACAAAAAGCCTGTGGCATTAAATTTGTCCACGCTCCAAATATTGTGTTTCAAGAGAACATCAAACAAGGTGGCTCTTAACACACAGTCTTTCTCATTATCATGGATCGGTTTGGGTTCAACAACTTTTTGATGAACTGCCCCAAGATGGTGCGGATAGGCACTTTTGTGTTTTCAAATTGCACGTTTCAAAATCGTAATCCTGACCTTGATATCGCAAACTATTTGCGCATAATACAGAGCGCAGAAGAAAAAACAAACGGTTAGATATTTTCTTCGGAAAAAGAAAGCAATCAATACAGTATAGGGACAAATTGTGTTAGCTGAAAACAAGTTATAAACAGACACAAACTTTCGAATTGTGACCGAGGAAAGGCCAACATTACTATTGCGTATCAAACTGAACACTACGAATGAGCGGCCAGAAACCTACAAGGAACCGAATCCAGGAGAAAAAAAAGAAGTCAACTTAATTTGCAGGTGTGCAGCAACAACGCCCGACAGTCAGCTGATCTGTCCACGAGAATAAAGTTACTGGAGCATTGTTGTGTGGAAACTCTGCCTTCCGCCCCCTCACTTCCTCTCCCTCAAAAAAAAACAACAACAACAACAACACAACAACAACAACAAAACAAACAACAACATTAACTGTATCTTATACAATACCTCCTGTATACACACACTTGTGTACATAAAATGGAAATATAAATAAACAAAACTAATTAATTAATTAATTAATTAATTAATTTTTAAAAAATGAAATATAAGCAAGATCAAAATCAATACTAATAACCAAACCTATTCACCCCTTTCCGTAGATTGGCTAGAATAAGTTGAAAAGCAAAAAAGAAGAACAATGAAGTGTGTCAGATTCTCCACACAGGACAAACCCTACTGAATAAAACAAATGTAAGAAAACACGACCACCTAAAACGACACGAGACCATTGTGAAAGAAGGGCTTGAAGGACAGATGTGGGACAGAAATAGAGCCAGGGGAAGACAAAGAGTAACTTGAATGGACAACATAAAAACCTGAACAGGCCTGAATATGGCAGAATGTGCAACAGCAGCTCCCGACAGTAAAGGATGGTGGGTCATTACATGTCAACCTCTGAGTCACAGATAACACCTCCAGGTATCCGGGTATTCAGTATTCACTCCGCAGAAAAACAAACAAACAAACAAACAAACAAACAAAAACATCAAACAAAGCTCAAATACTTACTCCTGCCGTCTTCAGGCTGCTGGTCAATGGCAGCGGGTCTGTGGTTGGGCCTGTACTTGGGTCTGTTGTGCTCGAAGCGCACGCGATCACCTTTTTCCAGATTGGGTCGGGGTGTGAACACGTAGGTGTTGTGAGGTTGCTGGTAGGGGTTGTGTCGGGGTGGGTAGGGGGTGGTGCGGGGGAGGGGTGCACGGGTGGGGGGCGGGGTGGTGGTGCGAGGTCGTCGGTAGTCTGAGTAGTCTGTTGAAATGGGAGGGGGGGGGGAGAAGTATGTTAGGTTTTTTTTAGTTGAGGTTTTACGGACTGCATAAGGTCATATGAGTGCTAGAAGATTAGGGGTATTACAAGAAAGTAACAAACATAAAAAAGAAGAAGGGGAGATAAGGACTATAGATGTTTGATAGGAAAGAAGGAGCAAACCACACCAGAGCACCAGCCAACCACCCACGAAGGATGTTAAGTATTGTATTCTTTGAATACTCTATAGTGCCGTATGTTTAAAAATGCCTGTTTTAGTTGACTGGGATTTTGAGTTGTACTGGTATCTTTGGATTTGGGTGACGCGTGACAGACATGTGGTATGAAGTGTTCAACTTACAGTGTGGCACACAGTCATGATAAGGTTTTGATTGTGCTGTGGGTGCCAGTTAAACGGATTTCTTTGACAAGACATCGTGGCAACGATTGCCTGTTGAATAGCGAACATTCTGAGAGAGTGCGAGTATGTGTGCGTACGTGGATATATTTTGTGTCTGTGGGTGAGTGTGTGTTTGTTTGTAAGTGTATGTTTGTGTGGGTGTGCATGTACATGTATGTATGTTGTGTGCGTGTGTGAGTGTATGTATGTGCATTTTTGTTGTATATATTGGTATGTGTGTGTGTATGTGTTTACATCTATGTTTTGTATTTGAATGTGTGTATGTATGTGTGTGTATATGTGTGTGTATGTGTATGTGCATGTATTCTGTATATTATGTGAGTATGTGCATGTGTGTGTGTGTGTGTGTGTGTGTGTGTGTGTGTTTGTGTGTGTGGGGGGGGGGGTACGGGGTGCATACACGTGTATATGCGTGTGTGTAGATCGTGCAATACTACGAAGTCCATGTCACTGTCAAAGATACATTAATTTGGGAGGTAAAAATCTAAATATGTGCGCGACTGGAAAGTCCAAAAAGAAAGTATCATTTTACCTCTCTTTCAATAACAAAAGAGCGTGCCACTCACCGTACAGCTCCATGCTCCCACTGTCCATGCCCAGTTTGTTGGAAGCCTCGCAGGTGTAGTGACCATAGTCCTCTTGTTCAATGTACATGATGCGCAGACTTAGGGTCACTGAGTACTCCTCTTCACGGTACAACTCTACGCGGAACTTGCCACTCTATACAATAAGCAAATAATTATATGATTACTATATAAATTATTATATAATAACAATATAACTACATATGTGTGATACATATATATATAAATAAATATATATAATATATATAATATACATATATATATAAATATATATATATATATATATATATATATATATATATATATATATATATATATATATACAGTGTGTGTGCATGTGCTTGTGTGTGTGTGTGTGTGTGTGTGTGTGTGTGTGTGTGTGTGTGTGAGTGTGTGTGTGTGTGTGTGTGTGTGTGTGTGTATGTGTGCGTGTTTCTGATAACGCATGTGTAACGTATAATACGATAATATATACTCATAGTATCTCTATACATGGAAGAGTTACAACACTGCAATGCGTGATTTAAAACAAATGAGAAAAGAAAAGAAAACCAACAATATTATCAATGCCCATCCTTACGATGCAAAATGATTTTCTTCTGGTAGCCTAAGGAAGTCTCTTTTTATCTCCTCAAGTTACGTTGTACTACTGTCTTACCAAAGTCTTCATCTCCGTGCCGTCCTTTCTCCAGATGCCAATGGCCTGTGGGTTGGCTGTGATGATGCACTCCAGGATCGTCTCCTTCCCGATATCTTGGCCCATCCGTTTGTTGGGCAGCTCGATCTCAGGAGGAACTGGTCAATAGGGAAATTCGAGAGAACTCGGTGTGTATTCCCCCATTAACGCATATGCCACACTGGTTCACTTTCTGAACAGACTTACATTCTACGCTTATTTACATACCACTCTGATTTACATTCCCCCGCTGACGTACACTCCGCAACGACTTACAATCCACATTAGCTCACATTCCAAGTTTATTTAAATTCCACGCTTACATATATTTTACGCTTACTTACATTACAAAATAAGTAACATTCAACGATGACTTATAAGTTATATGCCACTTTCACTTACATTCCACGTTTACTTACATTCCACAATTAATTACATTCCACGCTGACTTAATTGCATTCCACTCAGACTTACATTCCACGCTGACTTTCATGAGTTTGTTGACCGGGGGCGGCACGCCGTTGAAGGCGTTACACTCGTAGGTGTCCCCGCAGTGACGGCTGATATTGTGGATGATCAGAACTTCGCCGCTGATCCCGACCTCTGATACAGGTGTGACGTTGTGAGGATTGGAGACAAGGGAGATCACGCGTGGGGATGAAGGGAAACGGGGATTTGGGGATTTGGGAGGGGGCGTAGAGAAGGGGGTTGGGGGATGAGAGGATGAGAGAGAGAGAGAGGATTCGGGTGGGGGATTAATAAAAAAGGAAGTTGGGGAAAGGGAGGGTCATGGAAAAGGGGGGAAGGGAGGGAGAGAGGAAGTGGCGTCAGCGTTGGGTAAGAGAATAGGACGTGGGGATGTAGGGCAGAGAGGAAAGGGGGGAGGGGGATTTTGCTAATATTGTTAGAGTTGCACAGTATAATAACTTTGTTTAATATTGCATAGTTAACGTTGAACAAACTTGAATAAGAATACCTTATTTTCGCACTGAAAATATGGTTGTTTGTTTTATTCAAAGAACGATAACGTCCCTAATACAGCTGGTTTTACATACGCAATTCAAACTCCGATTCCACTAATTTAAAAAAAAAGAATTATGTCACCTATCATATGTCTATTCATTTTCTTAGAACTCAAACCCCCACTTCTTTATTCCACGTGCTCAATAATTATTGAAGTAAAGAAGCAACAGTTCATACAAGATGTTGTTATCCCTTATATTATGCTATTGAACAAATGTTATTTCCAGTATACAAAAAATTCCAAAGAAAAAAATTCGTATTCAAGTCGGTGTCAAAAATATTTCCCCTGCTCCATGCATTTCAACTAGGTAAATAAAACGTATAATGAAGTTTATAAGAAGCAAACCCTGGACACAGCTTAAAGCATCCTGAATTGAGTAACTTTCCTGTACTAATACACTTGGACAAAACTGAAAGTAGAAGAAAAATCTTTTGCAGGCTAATGGTACTGACCATGCAATGCAATGCCTTTCCTGGCAGATATAAAAAGCTAATTTCAATTTGAAGACGCTGATAAATGTTTCTTCGGCAGTCACAGACAACGTCAATACATCATGTTTTTTCCCATCCAAAATTTTACGTGACATTTAATTTTACAAGGCTATGATTTCGAGGCAGAGCCATCAGTGTCAGAAAAGAGGGTCTGTTTATAGCATTAAGTAAAACTAAGTGATTCACCGCACCTTACAGCAGTGTGTTTACATCTTTTTCAGGTTATCCCATGATAAAGTGTTGATAACTATAATTCACGAAGTCACTCTGCCACTCGATAAACCGTGTTAGATGTAGAAAAAAATCTATCAGAGATTTGGATGACCGTGTTTAAGTTAATTGTCTTCAATCTGACCTATGAATACTACTTTGTATTTCACCGCACAGAGACATATTAGTATGCTTTTTGTCGGTTAAATTTTAGAAGGATATAAAAGAAGGACGACTGGGGATGCATTTGTCAAGTTTTGATGACCACTTCCATTCATTTTCCTAGAACATTTGATTAAATCTTTTTAAATTGCATCTCTCAAAACATAACTGAAATTCAATAACAAGGTCCTTGTTCGCCTGAAACATCTAACCACCCAGTTTTATGAGGAACGTCTTGATGTCAATCTGACTTTGTTTTAGAACTAATACTTCTTGTCACAATGGCGTCCTTTCTGTCAGCAACCTCCACTGGGTTACAGGCACATTCTGATCGATGAATTGTTCAAAAGTGTGCATCTATACGTCTGTCGGACACGATATAGGCCTAATATGCTATTTGTGAGCATCTGGCCAAAAAGACGAAAAGTCGACCTATAAATTTTCGAGCACCAGGTTAACAAAGTTTTAAAAAATCAATATTTCACCAAAAACATGCTTCTATTAAGAAGAACATTTCGACATCTTGTTTAATTTGCCGAAGAGTCATATAGAACAGACGGAAGAGCAGATAGTACTGCACACTAATCTGTGTTCTGCACAGGCTAGAGAAGTCGAAAAGCCCAATGCCAGCGACGTCATGAAACACACCCGTTGGTCGCGCGACAGATCCTAATCCTTTTTCATACTGTCACCATACATAACTGTACACAACGTATAGACCTGTTGACGTGTGTGATAAACGTAGGCAAACAGTATACTGGCACGGTCTCTTTTTGGCCTAAAATCGACGCAGGTACATTCTCGTATCTCTTTCTTATGTGTCACTAACGTAAGGCTTGATCATTTGTTTTAATTAAGGGTTGCCAGTGAAGATATGCACGACATAATCCTCTAAATTATTTTTTTTGTTTTGAGCATTTCGGCTATCCGATAGTTGTCTTACAAAGATAAAGGTGGAAAATCGGTGAGTTTATTCACTTTCGGTTTCCCGCTGCTTTCGGATTAACTGTGTTCGGTTTAAGCAGATGCCATAGTATCATAAATCCGTGGAGCTTACTTAAAGTTGCATTGCATTATCTCAAAACTTTTATTTTCCTATACTCAATATTCTCGCAATACTGCAAGAGGAACTTAACTTTACGCATTCACGAGTAACCAGTTGTTCCTTAAGTTCTATCACGAGTTTCCTTCTTTTTGTTTTCACTAGCTTCAGAACACAGTTTGGCTAATTTTGGCCAAATTATTACTAACAAATCCAATAATATTCTACTGTACATGAGACAGCAGGCAGTGGCTTTGATAAATCTCAATAACTAATCGAATAGTCTTTTCTCACAACAAATGCACATTGAAAGTCGGAAAGCACTAAGAGTGAGTGGTCCATCTTAACCATCTCAACCAGCATACAACACTTTCTAAAAACAGAAATAACCTTAAGATTGCAAATGCAAAAGGGCAACTTCTAAATGCATGCTATTTCATCAGCTGTACTATAGCATCTATAGCTTACAAGACGCACCTGAACGTCTAACCGTTATGACGCCTGTTCACATAGGCAACAGTTCTCATGTTTACATTGTACATGCTGGTAATAAGCCTGACTCAGATACGGCTGACTCAGAAAGACAATAAGGAAAAAAAATCGAGCGCATTACTAGAGTCCTCTAAGAAGACAAAGATAGCACTATACTCATTCATAATGGCAGAACATGCTGACGCTTCTGCTTTTCAAAACCAGTTTTTATTTAAAATCAGAAAAGAAGTCAAGACTTCATAGATCTCTTTACACAGATTATATATAATAAAGCTGCACGCAAAATTTTGTCAGTGTTTATTTTTTTGTCATATTCTTCTTTTTCGTAACAACATCTTTAAAAAAAAACAAAAAAACAAATTACAACATTTATAACACATTCTGATTGAGGAAGTTTTCATAATGGGCTCATTTCTTTGGACCCTAATTATGAAATCACTGTAGGCCTATACACTTAAGTCATATTTCATGCATTTCATGATTTAGAAAAAAA